GAATCTTAGACAAGTGAAAAGGAAATTACTAGATGGCGCTGCATTTCAGGCTTCTGCCAACATTTCAAACCTTCGTCGGATTTCAATCCCTGCACCAGTTATTCGTTCCATATAACATTCGTAATTCTTCCTCAATATTTATCCACCTACCTCCACCACCTTTAAACACTCTCCCCTTGTCAGCTTTTCATAGAAGGCTCTGCTACCCCATGAATAGTTAACCGAAGTTCTGAGGCGTGTTTTCGTTTCGAAGGGATAGGATACTCAGCAAAAAATGACACGTTTAGTAGTATGGATTATTCCAATTGGTTTTCGATGTCCTTGTACACTTAAATACGCCTCACAGAAAACACGCACAAAATGTGTCATTTTTCTCATTCGTCTGCGATTTATTTATTCGTACAATTTTGTACTTAAAAGACAGTACCACCAGGTTTTAACAAAACTGTATTATTGTGATATTTTAAGACCGCGAAATTTCCTTCATTAAGCACCACATTTCTATGTTAACTAATGCTGCCTGTGAAATATATAGTAAAAAATTAATGCACTGCAAAGTTTTATGAAAGCCACACGGCTTCTTCTCAGTGGCGTATAAAAGTGCATAATTTTCCTAACACGCAAAATACACATCTTGTAGTTTGGACGACATGAACGTAAGTGTGACGGCAGGTCGAATTGAAAATGATTCGGAAACTGGAGAATTTTCTAAAACTGAAATATAATATTTCGTCGAGTATAGAGTTTGAAGTATATGTAACTTTCTACCAAAAGAGAGTGAAAGAAAGAACATTTTGGAACATGTAAGTAGTTATAGTTCACAGAGTGTACTTTTTGCAAACAACCCGAATGAACCTCGTTTAGGGCCGGCATCCTGGCAGGACTGACATTTCTTGAGATTCTGCGCGTGACCATAAATCCTACGGCCCCATCTAGCTCATCTTTCCAAATCGAAAACATAATTCGGATTTTCGGTCAACATTTTATGAAGTAGCACATCTACTGTACTTCTGCATCTGTTCCGAGTGGCCTTCTCCATGACTTCGTGAAGTGCACATGGCGAATTTACAAATGAGACATTTAGTATTGTGGCTACCATAGGAGACGCAACTTGACTGTTCGACAAATAGTCCTCGTTTCATGTGGAGCCGTTACCAGGTGGCTTTCGGTTCACTCGCGGGACACTGCTAGCGAGATACTGGTTGCCCTTTAAAATGTGGGAGCCTCGCACCGTTAGTGCCCTGCCAACAGACATCACCGGACACGTCTTTTGTGGCACCTCTGAGTCGATTGTTGCAATGCCGTAGCTGGATCCGATCAAAGATTTCCGGGATCATAGCTCGAATGCCACATCCTATGGGGTGTGCTCGTCTTTCTTCATGAATTTCATTCTGATGTCATAATCTGCCAGCGTCGAGTAACCGATAATTTCCAGTGTTCGTACTATCTCATCACAGCCTGCTATAACTTGACTTTCCTCTTAACATCAACTCGTTCTGATCCGCCCTACGTATTCGTGGGGCGGTTCCTTTCTCCTGAAAAGCTCAGATTCTCGGAAACCTCTGAAATCGTCCGAGTTTCCACTTTAGGATTCTGTTTTCGCTGTTCTGCCCACGAATCACTGTTTTATATAAAAGATGCCAATACCGAATCCGTGGATGTTCATATAATGGGTGCGATATATGAACTGCTAAAACTCTCGCGGACACGAGTAGCACTCCCTTCTTTAAAGAAGTACTCATTCGAATTCCATTCTACTGTTGCTTGCAGCAAGCAAGCCTCCAGGCCCAGATTTGGAGATGTAATTCCGTCATTTCAATCAATGTTCTCGTTGCGTTAGTAATAATGCTCACTCAGCCTCCATTAAGGAATGCAGGCCTGGGGATAGATGGTGTCCCAGGAGGCCTATCGTTGAAGTGCAACGGCTGAAATGCAGCGAGACGATTGTTTGGACTTTTAACTGATGCCAATGTTTGGAGTATGCTGATGCAGTTTTCTTTATGGTAGGGGAGGCAAGTATGCTAGGAGCGTCAAAACCTCAGGGTGTCCTAATCAGACATGTATGACAGTTGACTAGGAGACCGCGAAACTCGATGATTACATCACCTTCCGGTTCTCGACCGGTAGGCCCCAACACTGCCGAGAGCACAACAAACCCCTGAGTCAGATGTTAGGGCGTTGGGCTACTAACCAGCGGAACGCGAACTTGGGCTTCAGGATTTGCAAACCTGGAATTGGATGTGTCTGGTTGATGATGACTTAAGAGCCAGCAATGGTCATTCCAGTATGCCTTATCGTTGTCATAGTCCTTCCATAAAAATAGGTGACCCACATCATTCCCTTTAAATGGTGAAGATGAAGAAGAAGAAGAAGAAGAAGAAGAAGAAGAAGAAGGAGAAGAAGAAGAAGAAGAAGAAGAAGAAGAACTGGCGACTTCATGGACGATATTGTACTTGTCGGTGACTTTCTCATTTTCATTATCGGACTACTGAAGTGTCTGCTCATGATAGCCTGGACTTATTTAGCTTTGCACCTGTCTGGTGTTATAGTCATGCCATGGTAGGCAGGATGAAGGTCTGTAGCTCGGTTGAGTGTACTCTTAACTTATTTGGCACACGGAATTTCAGTCCCCTTTTAGATGACTCTCGCATTGCCTAATGTGCCATTGTGTGTTATTCAACGTAATTTTCCCATTTTTTTCTCCTTGGCCTTTGTCTACGTTTTTTCCATTCTCCCTCTCTTCCATTCCCAGTGTTTTAATTCTCCTCGCTGGTCGGATTGTTGTAACTGTTGCTGCTCGGCTCTCTGCTAGCTTCCTTACGATGACTCCCGCTTCGTAATCCATGCTGAACACTCCAATACTCAATTGAAATTTTGATTGATTACAACTTATTTTTAAAAGGAACTTTGCCATTTATAACAGTCTATTGCATAGGGTTCCGATCCTGGTTTAATAAATAACTGACTACTCATTTTGGGAAAAATCCCGGATCAAGCTCGATACATTGATCCGATCAAAACCCCTGACCTGCATACCTGATAAGTCCCATCTACGTTTGTTTTATGTTCCTTCTCTCGTAAATCGTTGTTACATTTTGTTTTCCACCTTTATGTTTTCCGGAGTTTACCATATAATCTTATTTATGTGCATGTTCTTCCATCAATGTCTCCATTTGTTAGTTCCCAGGATCAACTCCTTATTTGTTTACTACTAACGTTTATACGCGTTTATATACTCTGATAAATTAAACTCCCTCATCGAAATTTGCCTGTGCTATCCAAACTTCACGTTCAGTTCCGATGCGATTGAGGCTGTGTGCAAAGAATGTTGGATGCTCCGAGTTCGGAACGTCAAATTAACTCTCGGGTTGGGAAGAAGAGGAAACAGTCGACAACAGATATCAATTCTCCGTTCCCAACTGGTCCGTTCGAGACGGACATTACAATGGTGGCTGACGGTGAGCGTACCAGCCCTCAATCCCATTCCGCCCTTTTTCCCCGCAAAGATCCTATCCACGCGACAAACGTCCCCAACCCCCTACGCTCCCAGCCCCTTATTAGCACTTGAGATGTATGAAACAGATCAAAGCATCCGTGAATTTTTACGTGATTTCTCGAAGCTACTCCTTACTGTACCACCATACGAACGTACTTGCTACATTTTGCTGTTCTTATCCCCCCAGCACGCCGACGTGCATTTGACGCAGGAATCAAACCCACGTCAGACTTCAAACGAGCCACACAGATATTCATTCAACTCTTTGACCATCCGCTGGCCCCATGGGTCGCCAACCAACGTTTCGCCATCCCCCGTCAAAGCCCCACACAGTCCGTAGACAATTCTGCGGGGTGCATAATACGCCTGGCAACCATAGGTCACACCAACTTACCGGAGACAGACCGTGACTGTCTACTTCTCCACCAATTCATCGCCGATCTACACGACCAAAAGGTGACAGAAATTCTCCATTTGCCCCCTTCCCCTAACTTATCCTCTGCCCTTCGACAGTATCGACCATATGAAATGGTGGTGGGTGGAAGGCCATCGGGAGTGTTCTTACTGGCAGTGGGATTGAAATAGCGGTAGTCGTCGTCCTTGTGGAGATGGAGTATGAATGATGGTGGTAGGGAGCGTTGAGTGATGGAGGGCGTAATGTCCGTTGACAACATGGACTCGTTGGAAGGAACTGGAGATGTTGGGGTTGTGAACCCGCAGCACCTGAACCTTACGAGTCGCTCTTCTGGCTTTTGCGGCACCGATCCGGCTGGCCTCGTGGATTGCTATCTCAATCCTCACTGTTAGTCCCCAGATCCGTCGAATGTGGCAGAGGTCCTCCCAGGTCGGTGGATTGATTTGTTGGCCCTAGAAGGAGCTCGGCAGAACGCATTTATCGCGTGCGTCTCGATGGTCATTCCCCATCAAATTGGACTCTCGCCTCCATGCCATCACCACGTCTCAGCCAGATTTGGAATGGTGGGGATGGGGGAAGGAGAGAACGTATTGGGACTAACGGCCGTGATGGGGGACATGCTGATGATGATGATGGTGACGCAGGAGTTGATGTCATCAGCGAGTTTCGCAAACCCTCAGTCAAATTGTGGTGAGGTACCGGACTAATTTACCTTTAACAATTTATTCCCATTTTCTTTGACCGGATTGGTCATTTGAATGTGACGAGAAACAACCCACCGGTACAACCAGCCTTGCCAGCGTGCTCCGCTGTGGTATTATATTGTCAGTTTTCTTAACGTTCAAAATCTCTATATTATTCACTGCTCCCTGTACTTGCTGACTTTAAGGCTAGGGGCTCGTGAGATATAGCTCGTTATTTCGTGAGAACATTACCTTTTACGACATTGGTGACTCCCGACGTTAACGCAGACTTTATACCTTTCTGTCATACTGAATAACACTTAACGTACTTTTTGTTTGTGAATATCTATTCCATTTACATTTACTTTCCTCACGAATTCTGATATTGTACCATCTCTGTCTTATTATGTCTCACTCCAACCAACAACTCGATGCCCCCACCCAGTCCCTTCATGCCATCAATTTTACCTTGCTTGAATTCTGGCAACACGCTCCAGAACTTCACTTCATCCGCATAAAATCAGCCTTTTATTCTGCCAACGTTGCCAAGGAGCTGACGAAATACCACAAATTTGTGGAGGTCCTCCCCGCTAGTGTTATCGCTCAAGTTCAGTCCTCGCTAGCTAATCCTCCTGCAGATGCTCCCTATACCACGTTAAAGGCAGACATTCTTCGACTTAATTCTGTCTCCGACCGACAGCGGTATCACCAGTTACTTAAAGAGGAGTCACTGGGTGACCGGAAGCCCTCAGAACTTCTACGTCGAATGCGTTCTCTCCTTGGAGACATGCAAGTTGACGATAAATTTGTCAAGGAGATGTTCCTAGAGCGTCAACCCGCAGATGTTCAAACGATCCTGGCGTCCGGCTCTCAAGATCGTACGGTCTCACAGCTGGCTGAGATGGCGGATCGGATGATAGAGGTGCAGCGGTTCCAGTCACCTTTCGTTGCCCAGATCTCCTCGTCTTCATCGTCAGTGAATGAAAATTAAGTTAAACAGGTGTCGGCCATGGCGGATGAGATGGCCTCCCTTAAAATACAGCTCTCCCGCCTAACTTCCAGTCGCTCACGCAGCCGTCGTCGTTTTCGTTTACGACCTCGGACTGCCGATACTTTTTGGTATCACACTAATTTCGGCGTAAAGGCCCGTCGCTGTTCCTCACCTTGCTCTTTTAAGCCGAAACAGGGAAACCAGTCAGCCAGAGAATAGATGCGACCGTTTTCTCTGGCTCTTCCGGCTCTGGTCGCACCTTCTATGTTTGCTACATTGCGACTCGCAGACGTTTCCTGGTGGACACTGGTGCCCAAATCAGCGTTGTTCCCTCAACTGCAGCTGATCGTCGTGTCCCTATCCCTGGGCTTCACCTCCAAGCCGCCAACTGTTCCCCCATTCCCACTTTTGGCCGTCTGTCCCTCACCTTGAACATTGGCCTTCATCGGTCATTCACCTGGATCTTTGTGATTGCTGATGTCCCTCATGCAATCCTCGGCTCGGACTTTCTTGCCGAGTTCGATCTCCTTGTTGACTGCCGACGTGCCCGTCTCCTCGACCGCACAACCGGTCTGTTTGTTCATGGACTAACTCCCTTTACTGCCCCCACCAACTTATCTGTCTTGGATACGGTTATTGCTAGCCCCTTTCGGCAACTGCTTCTTAGTCATCGCAACATAATTAACCCCTAGTTTCGCAGTGATGAGGTCCGACATGATGTTGTGCACCATATCCGTACCTCAGGTCCTCCTGTGTTTGCTCGACCGAGACGACTAGCAGCGGAGCGTTTCCAGGCCGCAAAGGCGGAATTTGAGCACATGCTGCAACTAGGAATAATTCGACCGTCCGAGAGCCCTTGGGCGTCCCCACTGCACATGGTGCCCAAGGCAACATCAGGCGACTGGCGACCCTGTGGCGACTATCGTGCCCTCAACAGCGCTACCATTCCTGATCGGTACCCCGCACCTCATCCTCAGGACTTTGCTGGAGCCCTTTTCGGCAAAGCGGTTTTCTCGAAGATTGATCTGGTGCGCGCTTTTCATCAGATTCCAGTCGCCCCTGAGGACATCCCAAATACCGCCGTCACCACATCCTTCGGTCTCTTCGTGTTCGTCCGCACGCCGTTTAGTCTTCGTAATGCCGCCCAAACGTTCCAGAGGTTCATCGACCATGTCTTACGTGGCCTACCCTTTGTGTACGCCTACATTGATGACCTCTTGGTTGCCAGCCGGAATGAAGAAGAACACAAAGAGCATCTTGCCTTGGTGTTTGACCGCCTTGACAAGTGTGGCGTTGTCATCAACCCCTTCAAGTGCGTGTTGGGTGTGCTTTCACTCGAGTTCCTCGGCCATCAGGTTGACTCTGGAGGTTTGCGTCCCCTCCTCTCCAAGGTTGAAGCAGTTCGTAATTTTCCTCCTCCAACTTCCAAGCGTCAGTTACAGCGAATCCTCGGCATGATCAATTTTTACCGCCGGTTCCTACCGAACTGTGCTGACCTCATGCTGTCGCTCACCAACATGCTTTCTGGTCCCAAAGGTCCCCTCGAGCTGAGAGTTGAAGCACTGACTGCTTTTGAGAGAATCAAGAATTCCCTTGCCGATGCCACCTCACTCACTCATCCCGCTCCCGAAGCTCAGCTGTCTCTGATGGTAGATGCTTCGACCGTAGCCGTAGGTGCGGTCCTTCAACAACACCTTGCTGGTTCGACTCAGTCACTTGCCTTTTTCTCCAAAAAGCTCTTACCAGCCGAGACACGCTACAGTACCTTTGGCCGTGAACTACTTGCCATTTACCTGGCTGTGAGGCATTTCCGGCATTTCCTTGAAGGTCGTGACTTCATTGTTTTCACTGACCACAAACCGTTGACATTTGCACTTCGGTCCCACTCCGAAAAGTAAAATCCGAGGGAAATCGCTCACCTGGACTACATATTCCTGACAGTCTTGTGCACTGTTTGCGGCAATTTATGCGCTCGCTTTCCCCGGTTCCACCTCGAACTCCAATGTCTGAGTCTTATGTCGAAAAAGACTTGGACAAGTGAACTCATGTGTTCGTCCGGTGTGACCGTGTACGCCAGCCGCTAGGATCACCATACGAAGGACCGTTCCGCGTGCCCGCGCGCAACGCCAAGACCTTCCAGATTCTTCGCAGTGACAAGGAGGACGTGGTCAGTGTTGATCGGGTCAAGGCTGCTGTTGCAGAGGAGTCGCCGAACCGGTCACTAGGACAAAAATATGCTGACCCCCTAAGCCCCGTTCCTCCATCTTCCCTATCCCCTGCTC